AATGGAAAATCTGGAAGACCTGAAGTAAGTTTAAAGAACTGAGTGAAAAGATGGGACTTGAGCTCAATATAAAGCAGGCTAGGGTTTTGACAACAGGAAAGACTGGTAACTTTCCATTGATGGAGAAGATGTGGAAATGGTGGACAGCTTCTGATCAGTTATTAACAACAGAGGATCCAGCACTCAAGAAACACAACACCAATTTGCACTTGGCAGAACTAGGATGAAGGAGCTTAAAAAGATCTTTGAATGCAGTGATTTGTCTCTGCCATTAAAGATCGGAACTGTCCAGGCTATGGTCATCTCTGTGGATGTGAAAGCTGGACAGTAAACAAGCAATATTGATTGAAAACATTGATGCCTTTGAACTTCGGTGTTTTGGTGAAGACTTTTGGGAGTACGTAGGATGGCAAAGAAAACAAACAAATGGATCCTCAACCATATCAAGCCTCACCTCTCACTTAAAGCACAGATAACCAAATTGAAGTTGAACATACTCCGAGAAGACCCCAAATAATTGTAGAAGACCATAAATCTTGGAAAAGTTAAAGGTAACAGAGGACGGCCAACTACAAGATGGATGGATACAAACAGAGGAATCATGAGCCAGCCATTCAGAAGTTTAAAGACCATTGACATGACACCACTTAATAACAATAATAAAAAACCCTAAAATTAATAACTGAATTGTAAGCGTAGAATTTAACTGAAGTATTGTTGGCGAGACATTCAGAAACTTTGGCAATGTCCCCTTTAACTTTATAGCGTGTTGTAAAGTGTTCAAAATAGAATTCAGACCTCCCTCTCACATCCTCCTAAAAAAATGTGTTATTTGTATAAAACATCAGTAGTTTTTGTCACCCGTTCTTCTTTATTCAAGCAGGGTAGCCGGGTGCTTGGACAGGGGTGTCAAACTCAACCACTAAAATGGCAATATTAAAAAATCTCAACTAATCCATGGGCCAGCTGCGCTTTTATTTTGTTTTTACTTAACATTTTGCCAAAAATAAATTGTCAAATTAAAATAATAGGCTACATTAGCTTCCTCTTTAAAAGTCCCCAGGAAGTAGGTGCCAGTAAAACTGCCAATTTGCATAAACTAGACACCAGGCATCTTTTCTCTCAGAAAATTAAAATAATTTTGCGGGCTGAATAGAACTGTGCCATGAGCCTGACCTGGCCAGCGGGTCTTGTGTTTGACACATGGGTGCTAAGACATGGTGGAGGCTGCTGCTGCTCTGATGCAGCTTTACTTGTGTTTGCTCAGATGGTTTGACACACAAAAAAGAGTTTTTCAGCAATAAATGCAACAGCAGCATTGAAAAGTCCCTTATTAAAGGAGGCGAGCGAATGAAGTTTGCTTAAGTAACATTTCTGTTGTGTTTGTATGTGTTTAGATCATCACTGCCTTAGAGGAGGACACCACAGCTCAGAAGATGCAGCTTGGTTATCGTCTCCAGCAGATTGCAGCCGCTGTGGAAAACAAAGTGACGGACTTGTAACTGAGAGATCATGTATAGGCAGAACTTTGGATGATGGGAGAAATGGGATAGTGAAAGAAAATGGCACACGGATAGACGGACTCACTGTATGTAGTGACTGCAGAGGAAGGAGTCGTGAAAGGAGGGGATGTGTTATGTAGAATGAACAAATAAGATGGACGTAAAAGATGGAGCACACAATGTCACTTTAGATTTAAAGAGAAGACACAATGTGTTAGGTGAATATACAAGGTTCTTGTCTTTATCTGAGAGAAGAGATGGATGGTCACAGAGACTCGGTATCCCTCTTGGAATGGAGGAGGAAATCCACTACAAGCTGAAGATCCACTGCGATGATCCTTTGGGAGAGAACAAGCTGCCAGATTTCACATGTGGAAAGACATGCACCACCATAAGTGAAGTCACTGCTTGGGGAACAGTGGGTATTGACATTTGTGTGTGTCCTCCGACTCTCTGTTGATGACTACTGGAATTCTCTCCAAATTGAGAAGGAGTGTGGTGATTCTGGTTCCAGCCAATTAGATGGACTTAGCTGACTTCTTTCCTTATTGACTGGTGAAATTGGAGTTTTCTGGTGATCAGTTTTTGCCCAGAAAGGCATCCTCTGGGGAGGAATGACTGGAAAACATACCTGCTGATGGAGCAGAGAGCAGTGAGGTTATCAAAAAGTATGACCTGCAAAACAAAGTGTACGTGACATAAAACATTTGCTCTTCTGTCTTTCTCTACCTCTTCATACATTTCACTGTTTCTTCCATTACGTTTTTCTTTTTCACTGATTCTTTTTCCTATACCACCAATGTCACAGGTATACAGATCACAACCATCAGTACAGTACTAACAGCATTTGTACTAAAGCAATGTAAGAAGTGTTGGGCATTAGCTTATACCATTTTATTTTCTCCTGTCTAAAGTCACTGGTAAAGAGTAAAAGAGAAATTCCAAGGGTGTAAAATGTCAATGTAGAATATTCTCATTGTAGATTATTATTTATTTGATTTTAGAGTATGTAAGCTCGCATCTTTTAGCCCTTTTCTTTCACACCTGTCTGTCACATATCCGTCCAAGTCATGAAGAGGAGCTGTGACTAAAACAACGCCAACAAGTCTACAGGCCATTGGACATTTCAGGCAAGATCATTCAGTGAACTGAGATCGTTCTCCAAGACATCTCTATTCTAGCACTAAAATTTGAACATTTTGTCTGTTCTGTTAAGGTACTGAGAGCTCTTGAGTAAGAATCACTGGAAGGATGCTGTTGTAGGGCGTGAACCTGACTGAATTCTCTCTGTAAGATGTAATGACTGAAGTGAACTCTGCATTTGGGCATAGTTATGAACTATGTTCAGACATTCCTTTATGTGGTATGAGAGAAACCAATCTTGTCACATAGGTTAATGTTTTAAAAGTTATGTTCTGTCATGTTCAATTCACACTTTTTTTATTACCCAGCTGGCAAATGTTCCATTTTAATTTAAAAAAGCGTGGTGGTCATAAGTAGTTTTTATCGAGGATGATTAATGTCCATCCTAAAGCAGACATAGAAAGGGAGAGAAAACCGAATCAACCTAAAAGAAGTCTAACATGTATTAAGGGCATCTAGTAGTGAGACAAATCTGGTTAAATGGTACGTTAGATTAATGGACCACTCATACACCTAGTGTTGTGAACTGTGTGAGATAAAATATGTGCAGAAATCATCAGAGGGAATTATAAAGGTATAACTGTTATTAGGTTGTATAAATTCTTATGTGTAGACTAGAGCAGGCTCGACCCTAAACTGTTTTTTAATTATTTCTTTTTTTATATTTTGTTAATATCATCGTAAATACTGATTGTCTCCCACCTGTAGCTTCTTACCAACAGTATGTGAAAATTTTTACAAATTATATTGAGAGGTAATAAAATATTCTAAATCTAACCAACTGTGCACTTGTGATCCTATCTGACACATTCATTTGAATGATTTAAGGTGTCTGCTATTTGCATCTTTCCTACACAAAATTAATTAGTCAATGAGCAGATTTTACTAATTGCACTGTTCACAAGACAGTTATTCTACGTAACTGAACCAAGAATTCAGAAAAAAAGTGGCAAGTGGGTTCCAAAGATTGTGGATTCAGTAGATATCGTATGGAAGCCCATTTCTGCCACTGAAAAAATGTATATAGCAGTTTAGTAAGTCATAATAAGAAAGCTTTCCATAATTATGACTTTGTAAGTCATAATTATAAGATACTATCTGATAATTGTGGCTTACTATCTCATAATAATGATTTAGCTTCTCATAATTATGACATTATAAGATTATGTTCTCATTGTTATTAGATTGTAATTATTATTGAGATATTAAGACAATTACAATTTAGCTTCTCATAATTATTAGATAGAACTTCATTATTATCAGATAGTCAACAGGTGTTGTGTATATGTATGTGTGTATATATATATATATATATATATATATATATATATATATATATATATATATATATATATATATATATAAAGTGGTGGAAACGAGCTGTTTCAATTAATAATTTTACAAAGGATTTGTAACTTTTTGCCTCTTTGCTCCTAACCTTGACTTAGGTCCTAATCTCCAAAACCCAGGTGAAGTGTAAGCCTACAGTAAAAATGTCTGCTGTTACTAGACTAGACTGTCTGATGCAATACATTATTAAAGCAATGTTACGGACGTAATTTGAATATGGTGATATAACCTAAACATCCATCACTGCATCGGCTAAATCTCAGCCTTGAAGTCAGTCAGATATAAAAGTTATTCACCACATCTTTCGGTAGGAAAAAGGTACAAATATGGATAAATACCGACATCTACTGGTGAGACAGTGTCTCTGCAACGTTTAGCTGCCTGGCATTTTTCATGCTTTTAGCTTTTCCCTCGTTGAGTACACTGAAGGTAATTTCATCTGAAGGATTCAATCCGTCCTTTCCAATATATGCATATTTCTGTACTGTCATTAATTGTATTTTAATGAATCGTCTAAAGGAAACTGCCTGTGAGCCCTGTTTGTGATTTCAGTTTAACGCATAACACGCTGGACTGATGTTTGTACTGTTGTGTATTTTTATTGCTGCAGTAACGTTAAGCGAAATGTGTTTTCCATGATGGAATAACCGAGCAAGGAGAAATTAGTCCTAAACAACGGAAAAAGATCATGTTAAGCACGGAAACACTTGTGGTGTTATAACATAATGAATGAACGTGTAGCCAACATGAATCATCCACACTGTGTTGCTGTTCCTCAGATCTCAATCTCACTCTGTTGGCTGTAATATTCACAGACGGAGGTCAGGTATACAGAATTACATTTCTCCTATCAGAGAAATATCACGTTTTAGCGTTTCAAGACGACTTTTCTCTTATTTTGCCTCAGTGGACGATAACTTCGCGGTCCGCCATGTTGGTGTGCGTTTGTGTCCAGTGTAATGGTGGCGCTGTCCATCTCCCGCTTTCAAAACATCCCTGACCCGGAACAGCGCCGTGTGACTTCACCACTATGGAGTCTCTGCTGACGCGCAATTGTAGGAAAATATGCCAGAGCTGGCGTAAAAACAGTTAAATCAAACGCTGCAAAGCGAAAAAGATAGATGATTAATAATTTTCCAGCTGATTTTATACGTCTTTGACATTGAAAAAGGACACAGTCGCCTGCTGACGAGTGAAAATACGTCCAGCGGCGCTCGCTTTGCTAACTTGCTCAGTGTTCGCTAACGTTAGCTGGTGTCTGGGCGCTGGCTAACGCTAACGCTACCGTTAGGTTAGCTTCTCCTCGCAGCAGCAGCAGCAGGTGGGTAAAGTTACTGACCGTGTGATGCTGTTTTAGACACGTCAGCAACTGCTGCCGTTAATGAATGAGAAAATGTCACTATGTCTGTTTTAGTGACGAAGCTCAAGTAGGCTTCTTATTCGAATTATCGGTTCCACCTTAAATTGTGCGGCAGTTACATTCTGGCGCCTTGAGTGATGGATAGAGTTGCTGCATCATTTAAGGTGGAACGGAAAATTCGAAAAAATAAGCCAGCTTCAGCTGCTTTACTGTCACTGGTGTCTGGTTAGACGTGTAGCTGTTGCTAATAAGGACTAACTAGCTAGCTAACGGTTTAAACCAGTGTAAGGCAGTAACGTTATCTGTATTAATACATTTTAATAAGTTCCTGTTGACTGTAATGTACTGGACATTTCTGCTGTGATTCATATTAACCTAGCACTGATGCCGGTGATGAAGGCGTGTCTCTCTATAGGAATGCCCCGTATTAAAATTAGCAATACTACAATATAATTCTTACAGAATTCCTATTTAAAAATTACTGTAAGTTAGCGCGGTTACTGTGGTCTACTGTAGCGCACTGCACACGTCTTATAGATTACCACAGGACAGTACTACTGGAATACTGTAGCAGATTATTATAGAAGAATTACACAGCATTTTAGAAACCGAATAGCGTTAGTTTCTTATAGTATTACTATATTATAGTAAGGGAAGGTACAAATTCGACTGGCTTAGAGGAATTATTGATTGCTAATGCACTGCATGATGTCCTTCTGTGAACTGAGTGCAAACCTGTCACTCAACAGCCCTGGTTTCCTGGTTCCCAGGAACAGTTTTGGGGTATTGTGCATGGATGAATATGACTGCATGAAAAATATGATCCACTTTTACTGTTTCCAGAAAGCTGAGCTGCTATTCCTTGGTAAGGCAACAAGAGGAGGCCTCTGTGTTCAAGGCACTACATGAGACATGGCCACACACTTGTAGTGTTAAATTAAATGCTGTGTAATTTTACTAATGTTCCACTATTTGAAGTTGGAGATGCTCTGAGGACATCCACATTGAATTTCTGAAGTTACTGATTTGAGTAACTTTTTAAGAGCATCATATTGCATTGGTTGAACTACCATCAAATTGCTGTTAGTCGAATCCACATACACCCCTGTGTCAAATCTGTACCTACTTTTTAAAATGATAAGACACTCCTGTACTTTAAGTGTGGATTATATTAAGACATTGCTATGCCCAATGTCATCAGATGAACGTTAAAAGGAAAATGGAGCAGCATATAGGTGAACTCGACAGGTTGACTCTCATCTGCTTGTACTTTTTAAAAGATGGTGCACAATGACCAGCAGTTACTTCAGAATCTTGAAAGAGCCCTGGAGCAGGTGCATTGTAATGAATTGACCTATTCTTTGATAGGTCAGTACATAAAAAGGGTATGGAGAGAGATTCATTCATCCTAATTAAGAAGGACATTACTGAAATTCTGCCTTTTGTTTTTGCTCACTGGCCACATTCAAGACAAATGAATGCATTGAGTGTGTTTGTAATATTTAACGTTTCATAGCAGTTTACCGGCAATTTACTTGGTTGTTCCTTTAAAAACAAAAGCTGTCTTAATGGGTTGAAGACAACTTTGTACATTCAAGCACAAAACACGTACTAAATCTGTTATGTATTGGTTTATCCAGCCGTGATGTCATGGTCATGTAAAATATTGGCTTACATGCATGGTTATTATTATTAATAATGATATTTGTATCAATTATGTAGTTATTCTACATCTGTAACTATTGGTAGGTCTGTCACAATTATAACAATCGCCTAATCACAGTTTTTTGAGCTGATTGCAATTATTATCCACAATCGTATGTTTACATTGCAGCAAGCAATGTGCATTTGGGTCAAGTCAAGCTAAAGTAAATGCACGTAAATAAAAGAAAGTTAAACACTTTTAGAGGTTAGTAGTGACTAATGTTTTTTATTTGATGTTTGATAATTACACCTTTATAAAGCAGTAGTGAGTAGTGACTGTTTACTTGATGTTTGCTAATAACACCTTTAGAGGGCAACGATGCATAAAGTTTGTTTATTTGAGCTCGGTCTGTGTCTCTCCCGTTGGAGCTCCGAGGGATCGACAGCTAGGAAGTAAGACCGCTAATTAGCCAGTCTGGCCATTTTAGGTTTATACTTCAAAACTATTTTTTTTTTTCAAAAAAATACAGCAGCAGCAATAAAACTTATTTCATAAAGTTGTCATATGTCTGCATCATTAGAATTTATGGAATTACCCTTTTAACTCTCTATCTGTGCTCTTATGTTTTGTTTAGAGTAATAACGTGATGGAGTCTTCTGAGCAGTCTCCTCCAGATTCTGGAGCTCAGGAAGTGAATCCTGTGTTCCTGCAGCAGTTGAGAGAGCTGGACATTCCAGAGGAGGCTGCCAAGCAGGTCCACTTGAGCTTTATTCCTCTGCTCAGTCCGTAGAATTATCCTGCCCTGATTGATGATCAGACAGCATAGCTGCAGATTTCATATATGTGCAGAATGAAGACAGATTAGGTATTAGGCTTAGGTTGTTCTACAATAGTTCAGACGGCCTGGAATGATAACTGTTCTCTGATGGCAGTGTGTGCAGTCCCGTCCATATAAGATGGAGATGCCTAATATGATTTTTCTGTGTTGCTCTTAGGCACTCCTACACACACGGAATGTGTCTGCTGAGGAGGCGGCCATGTATTACTTCAACAAACTTGAGAATGAGGTCTACTGATAATTACAAACAATCTGCAAGTGAACTTTACAGTGAATTATCTTTTGTGTGTTTGTTTTTGAGTGTTTTCTGTTTTATCCATGCTCTTAGGAAGAAGGAGATGAGGACATGATGTTCAAGATGGTTTTTGTTGTAAACATGGAGCTGTCCATGGGAGTGGGGAAGGTATATTCAAGAACTGTACAGTTGGGTTAAGTGCTCGTTCCACGTATACGTGAGATAAAATTGTATGGGGCTGAGGTTTTTGGTGGGTTTCGGCAGGTGGCGGCGCAGGTGGGCCATGCAGCTGTGGGTCTGTACCAGGCCATGCAGGAGAAGAACACCTGGAGGGAGATGGCATGGAAATGGGACCATGCTGGGTGAGAGACTGTTGTATGCTGTATCATTTAATAGGGATGAGCATTTATCTATTTTTTTGCTGTTTGTATATCAATATTTTAAAATATTATTTTAATATCCCAAAGAAAAAATATTTTATGCTGCTATGAAGTGGACAGGTTTAATGTCCATTTATTGCATATAGTTAGCATAAAGAAGTGATCTGTACCTGGTTTTTCAGTTGATTTAGTGATGTATGTGTCTTTCTGTTTTATGCAGATGTTAGTCAGTGTACTATCAGTTGTTTTGCAGAATGATGAATGGAGTTTCAAAACTGTCAACAATAATACACTATTTATTTATTTACTTACTTACAAACTACACATACCTTATTCAGGTGTTCAATTAAGTAAACAAATACTAACACAAGTTTGTGTATCTGTATTTTCATTCAAATAACCACCCATTCCTTATCCTCAATAATGTGCTGTAGTGCTTAAGATGCGGGACAATAAATAAACAGCAATACGTCTCAGATAATTAGTAGAACAAGAGCAGTCCAACAGGGCATAATAAGACAACAATTCACATACAACAGACTATTTAGAAAAGATGCTACCGTTTCTCAGGCAGCAGTAGCAAAAAGAGCAGTATGTATGTACTGGCACTATAAAAAAGTGTTTTATTTCTCCATCACTGGACTAGTGAGCAGTTTTGGCCCATTTTCATGGCAGAGAAGCTGGGGAGTTGATTGAGGAGGCTCAACAACAGGTGCAACATAAGTGAACTTGTTCAAGGACACTGGTGAAAGTCATAGATAGTAACCAGATATTCCCAGGCAACATCCCAGTTCAGGATTTGAAATAGCGTTTCTAATCTTATGATCTAATTCATCTTGGCTGTATTCACATTATGGCTCTCTTCTTGTGTTTGTGTTTGTGTGTTCAGGGCTAAGAAGGTTGTGCTACAGGGCACTAACATGGCACACCTGTTGGAGTTGCAGGCTCTTGCTATGAGTTTAAGCCTCCCTACAAAACTGATACAGGACGCTGGACTCACCCAGGTAATGGCAGTTTAGTGTGCATTAAACATATATCAAGGATCAAAACCTTGTATCTCCAAAATGGTAACTTTACAAAAAAAAATTGAATTGAAGTTAATAGAACAAGATTGTTTCATGAATATTAGAATAGAAAAATTATTAATTTCTATTGCTCCATTAATAATGACATTTTAACACATTGTAAATGGCAGGTGTCATTTTCAAATTATCAAAAAACAACAAAAATGGAAATACAAGGTTTTGTTACGACGGTGACGATATGCATCAGCTATAACTCGATACAAATAGAATGGCATCTGATTGGTGCTTTGCAGATATACCAAAGCCAGTATAATGTCAAAGCTTTTTATCTTTAAAACATCTTTAATTTCATGTTAATTGACCTATTAATGACAAAAACATAACAAACCGGATGCAGGCAACCAGCTTAGTATGTTAAGTATGTTAGATGCATCATAAACAGTATAACGAATACCTTTTGGTCTTTCTTTGAAAGATAATTGTGAACGGTATAAAATAAATAACACCTTAATTTAGTCTTTGGATGATATGCTTTACCCTGTCAATTACTCCACTGTCAAGGAAAACTAATTTTCTGGCATCTGATTTTGCTCATCACCACTGCTCTCATTGGACAGGGAGTTTGGCCCTTGTGTGGTAGTGTAGAACTCAGCTATGGCTGCCACAGGGTACAGTATAGAGAAACTACACACTTTCTAAAGTTTTAATCTTGTTTATGCTAAAAGACCATATACCATCACAAAATCATGAATATGTACCTTTTTTGTGTTTTTCCTGCCACGATAATGCTAATTTCTGCTAGCCTGGTAATAGGAATCTGCCTGTTATATTAGCATCAGGCTAACCGTAGTGAATTTTTACATTTTATAGTAGTTCTTCAGAATTAAACTCAGATCTTTGAAGCCTGTGAAAGATATTTAAGTAACATACTCTTTACTTTGGATGTTGACTCTCTCAGTACAAATTTAAACTCAAAGCCAGTCTTTCAGTATTATTGGAGCCCAGCTTACACTAGTGAGGACAGAGAGATCTGGTAATCAATCACTAATAAAGAACAGTGTTTGCAACGTGACATTACATTGCTGTTTTACATCGTCCTGTCCATCAGATGTTTTGGCAAAAGGTTGAGGCAACAGTGAAAATTTGAAGGCTGGCTGTGTGAACGTGTTTGTTTTGGATGGGGGGGGGGTACTTTCTCTTCACATTGCGCAGCAGATCCTAACAGCCTTTAGAATCACATGCCTTTTGTGAAAAGGAAATATGCCAAAACGGCAGACACCTCACATTTCTCAGTTTCTCAGCTGATAGATACAGTGCTAAGTATTGTATATGTGAACTGGCAAGGAAATGCAGTTCTGTGTACTATATCTCCTTTTAAACTTATGTCAGTGGTATCCAGCACACTTCAGGGATTCCCCTGCTCAAACACACCTGGTGCAGCTCAGCAGTTATCATCTGAGCAGGACAATCACCAAACCGTGCTGACCCTCCAGGATCAGAACTGGAGATCCCTTTCTTTTATTAATCCCTAGCTATAAGATGCGGTATTACTAGAGTGTCTTACCTGCTGTTTTCAGGTGGAGCCAGGCTCTAGCACTGTGCTGGCCATCATGGGAGAGGAGGAGATGGTCAACAATGTCACAGGCAGTCTGAAACTGCTCTAAGCACTGAAGGAAAGAAGCAACTGTGGAAACACAGGTGTGTAAAGTAACACTGAGCGTCCACAGGGGGGCGGCAAAGCCCCACAGCAGCAAGGCTCTCAGCATGTAAAAAAAAAATTTAAAAATCCCACAGAGCAAATCCCATAGCATTCACATACTCCTACTGACTTGCACTGACTCTCACTTACACACACACACATACACACACAGAATAACAATGACATCGGTTAAGGTGGGAGGAGGGCTGCACATGTGGATGGTTGCCTGGGTGCATCATTCCAGGCTGATTTAACGTTTACAGTGTATTCGCGTTCATTATGTTACGAAAGGATCCCTGATTCTGCATTTAAAGGAAGGGAAAATGTGTGAAGATCAACAGTGAACATATCGGTATGTGATCAAATGGGTAGGTGATACCCATCATCCCCTCATACATTAATATTTATCACTTAAGTTAGATCCTAGTGTTTTGGTGATTGTTGAACCAAAGTAGTCATTGTAAAAGAGTTAAATGAAATGTAACACTACACATAAAACATCCTCTCTAGATGTAAGAACTCCTGAATTATCTCCTTGGAAAGTTTACTGCTCATCAGCAATGGGCTTCCTTTGCTATGAATTGTGATGTATAAATCTACGTATGTATATAACTTTTATGTAACTTAAATGTACTGATGTGATACCCCTCCTGCCAAACATTGTTATGTAGAAATAACTTGAATGCATACTGATATGGGAAAAACAAAATCTCAAAGCCATATTGATTGTGGAGTGCCATTGTTAATGTTTTCTGTTACTTTTTGACTGTTCTTTTTTTTTCTGCATCTACATATTGTTGACTGTCAATTCTGGGATTAAGGAGGTTGGTCATTTGCAATAATACTGACATGCTAGTTGTCTTTTTTCTCAATTAAAATTTAAATGTTTGTAGTGTTCAAGATCAGAGTGCTTGATTTTTTTCTTGTAACTAGAGACTATCTACTCTTGAATTCTCTTGATAAAATAGACTAGTATCTAAATGTCTAAAATCTGATGCCCTTTTGCCTGTCATTTCTTTCCAGTATTATTATACTCTGTTACTTCCATGGCTGCTATTAACGGACAACCCAAAAGACACAATATATATAGTGACTAACGTATAGTATAGTAAATGTATAGTAAACTGTAAATACAGTATATATCCAAAATCCCGTTTAATGGACACCAACTGCTGACAGAGGTGTTCAGTTGGACATACACAACTTGTATAATCTCCTTAGAAAAGCATGACCAATATAATGGGATGTTTTAGAGACTACCGTCATCATGCTCAGTGCCAAGTGTTAACTAGAGGGATATAAAACCCACAAGCATTGGTCTATGGAGCTGCATTCTCTGGAGTGATGTTGCACCTTACTATATCTTTAGGATGAGTTTAAGTGACCTTTGTAATCTAGAACTAAAACAACATATCGCCTCTAGACGTTTCACTCTCCGTCCTCAGTCAAAAGCAGTTTTACGGCCCGACATTACGCGACTGTTAGTGTTTTCATCGAGGAGCTTGTCCAACGTGTCGTCAAATATCAGCGCTCAAAGACACTAATGAGGCAAAACCAACTGCCACGTTACAACCCGTGAGAAACGAAGACGTATTGTTTTTTTTCTCGGCGCCTGTTCTGCTCTCGGTTGTGAACCATGTGACCGAACGTAAGTATGAAGCCTGTTCTCGGGCGGCACAATAGCGGTATTGTACACAGACTTGGCGCTGCTGCTGCTGGGAAACGCTGAACGAGTCCGACTCGCGACCGAATCGGTTCTTTCGATCTGATTCACAAGTCAGGCTGAATAAATGTGGGTAGGGTCCACGCGCGTATTACAGGCTTAATGTTTGTTAATGTTACAAAATCTGAGTTAGAAATAGTGAGCTTTGACTTATTAAGAACGGCCTCTTTAAATTCGCCGACGTTTCCTCCTCTCCGTCCTACGCAGACCGTATTACTCTGTCTGTGCATTTCGATTTGAGTAGAAGTGTTTCTCAGCTCTGGTCCTGGAGGCCCACTGTCCTGCACGTTTTAGTGCAATTAGCTCACTTCGACTCAATAAGGACCTCTTAATGAGCTTATTTGGAGCAGGGAAACCACTAAAATGTGCAGCGGCCCTCCAGGACCAGGGGTTGAGAAACACTGGAGTAGAAGAAGCGAGTTGAACCTAACTGTATATAGAGAATATAAAGCTAACTTGACCAGGCACTGGCGAAATGACAAGGTTTACTTCTCTAATCGCTGTGGGAATGAGCAAGAAGTTAACTCAAAATGCCCCACATCCGAAACCCAAAGAAGTCATTCAATCGTTTGGTTTTTTGAGCCGAACAGTTCAAAGGATCGGTTGAGTGAACTGAATCGAACGCCTTCGCCCTGATCACGTGCACCGCCGAGCCCCAAGGCTGCAGTGAGGACGAGATGTCCCTCTAACTGAGCGCGCGCGCGCGCTGGTATGAGTTGCCCCTCTTATGCTGACGTGGGAGACGGCAATTTGTCGTTTCCCTTTTACCCTCAAACGCAGTCGGTCCAGGAAAACCTCCTCGTCCTATATTATGGCAAAAATGGCAGCTGTTGTGAAAATCAACTGAGTTTATCGAAGCGTGAGAAAGAGATCGACACGCCGCCTCTATTTAACGCCGCTCTGCTGAGAGTAGCACTGTCTGCTCGCCGCTGGTCCTCGGTGCTCTTTTGAACTGTCGCCGTTTTTACTCGTCCTTGAGATCCGATCCGTGCTGCCGACACAAAAGGCTACAGCAGCTCGTTTTGTTTCTCTGGTTTGGGGAGGTTACGTGCGTCGCTGCATGTCCTGCATGCTGGTTAGTCCAGGTCAGGAGCCATTTGAGAAGCCATGGTTGTACATTAACAGTTTCATTACCAAAGCTTGGTTTAACAAAACGACAACGATTAGCTTTACATGGTAAACCGCTTCGACACACTAGCCAGCCTTCGACTGTGGGAAACATAGCCCGCGGCGGAGCAGTGAATAAATAAAAATAGGTTCGATTAAATTACGTCATGAATACGAACCTCGCCAACTCCCCTCCCCCCACAACAAACAAACAAAAAACACCCTACATGGCAGCAGTGGACTCAGGTCATTGCTGGCTACATTTGGCCTTGTAAATGACATTTATTATAAAAATATTTATGACAAAGGTTTGCTTTCATTTAAGTAAAAGACTAACTACAGGTATTTTACGTACGCAAATTTTGAATATATCGTTAAATTGATTTAGAACATGAGTTACTTCGATCTTTAGGTCAGCGGAATTTTCACATTTTTTCTGAAACTACAGCTCGTATTAACAGTTTCTGACTCGTCCTTATTGTAGCCCAGCCTGTTCTTCACAAGCCACTGCAACAAATGACGTTAACAAAACTGTCTCAGCCAATCCGGGCGCTCCTCTCGTGCCCCATGACCTGGCACAGAAATACCAGGCCAATCACACGTTCGCCTGATTGTATCCATTCATGTGCGGATACTTCGCAATCGTGCAACGTTGGAAATTAAATACATGCTCCCCGTTTCTTAGTTCTGACACAGTTGGCAATAATTTTCATAACTGACAACTTACAGCGTCGAGTGGGTTGTTTCCTCATATTTATATCACGCGACCAACAAAAAAAGACACACAGACACCCAGAAAAACTGAAACTGGTTTAATATCTCCATCAAGGTTTGAGGATGGTGTGTGAATTCAGAACCATCCTTTATGTGAAAAGAACCAGAAAGGCGCCATCTGAGCAGGAACAGAGGCCATGTTTGAAGTGAACGGTCGGGAACCGCACACACAAGTCAATATCCCTGTCCAATCCCATGCCAGGTCCCACAAGACCGACCCTTCATGTTCCATTCATAGCTGAGTTAAGGTGGGGCTGACCCTACCTCTAATGTCGTAGTCCCTGGTATGGGGCCCCGGAGACCCCGTGTAGCTACGGATAGCTGCTATGTGGCTAACCCAGGCTCGGGGTATTCCCTTTTGCGCTGAATAGAATTTTTTTACAAGAATACAAGAAGAAAGAATAATCCCTTTATGAAAGAATTGAAAATTCCGCGGCCTGTGTATTTTAGTAACGTGACAACTGTTCCCATATCCTCATTTAACTTCTTTCGGATATCCGTTTAGCTACTGGGTCTTTTCTCCTCGTCTGTGAACAAACTCCATCCACCCTCTCACCGAGCGCTGCAGAAGCTGACTACGCTTTTCCACCCCTCCCAAAAAACAACGTCCTGCCCTCCCCTGGTCAACGAAAACGTTTAACCTTTTGCATCCAATGATATGTTCTCTTTTATTTTCTCCGTGCAGACTGACAGGTTTCTAGCCTATAGCGGCTACTCTGGGTTGAGCCTCGCCGCTGAGACCGCCTCGGCGTGGAGCCCCTGCTGCAGCGCCGCGGAAACCCCGCGCTATGGTTGTGTGTCAGTTTCGCTGGGAGCCGCGGTCGGTGCCGGTGAGGAGGGGGATGGGCGCCGCTGCAAATGTTAAGGACCTGGATAGAATCACAGCCTTGTAACACACAGAGCTGTACCTACCCCATGTAAATATCGAGCATAATTGGTGTAAAACATCATCATAAATGGATGCAACCAGTAGGGACTCAAAATAACATTCGAAGGAAGTGCTATGGCCCAGGCAGGAGTGGGTATGAAACTTTCACCCTTTGCGTGAGGGACACTGAGAAGTTTGGAAGGTACCCCGGAGAGGGAGCTGCCTCTCGGCTTGCAGCGCGCAGGAAAAGCCGAGGTCGCAAGAAGAGGCCTCGTAGTCTGATTCGCCTTGATGTGGGAATATTTGAACTCGGCCAATTATCAGAATAGGATATTTCATCTGAACTGAGTTGGAATGACGGGCTGGGTAAGTTTACGCGTTTTGGCTTGGTTATTTTGCACGCATTAGTCTGTTATGTACCACTAATGGCCAAAGTTACAGCATAACTTGGCAGCTCTCTAGTTAGCTCTCTGTGTGTGCGTCTAAGTTGTTGCGAGGTCTCGGCTCTTGTTTGTTATTTACGTCGACATTCTTTAGGATTGTAATTACAAACAAACTGTTTTCACAACATTAACGTTAGTTTATGGACGTTTAGCTAACTGTCCAAGTTAGCTGTTTAGCTAGCTATCTGGCTAGTAAATTATGTTTCGTTTAATAAGGCCAGTATTCACAATTCTGTGGCGATGTCCTCGTGTTGTGGGAGCTGCATTTTTTCTTAAGAGCTGGCGATGTAAACATTTGCTGTTTGTACTAACATAGTGGTGTTTGTGTGTACTTTTGTGCCAATATATCATGTTTACAACCCCTTTGTCATTTAAGGCGATGAATTATGTGAGGAAATACAGTATTTTTGACAATTAATCGTTTTGATGCTGATTCTAAAGTAACGTTAGCTAACAAACTGAGCAGTTTCCTTTTAGTTCGCTAGCTAGGTTAGCCGAAGAATGCTTGAGAACCGAATGAGCCTTTCGGAGTGCATTCTTGTAACAATCAAAACGATCATATTGGTCATTTTTGTGAGATACTGGGCTTTGTAAACCTGTGATAGGAAGCTGTTAGCTACTGTTTCAGTATAGAGGTTTAGATTCTGGGTCAGAAGAATTTGAGAATGTCTAATTTGATTGATTTTGCGTTGAACATGTTTGTATTTGCCTGACTGCTAGCAGCTTGGTACATTTCAAGGAGTTTGTCTGGATAGCTAGCCAGTAACCTTAGTGTTCAGGTCAGAAGTGCTAAGTTGTGTACCAAACTGTGTTCTCAGTTGTAAGCTGTTAGCTAACCTAGAGGTTTGAATTCACTGGACAGGCAAGGTTGTCTGTGGTCGATGAAGCAATGTGTTTCAGAGATCAATTATCAATTTGTTGTTTTTTCCATTAATTTTTGTACGGTTATTTTCAATCCTGTACGTTCTGTTAGCACTACTGAGATGTTATTAAATACGAAAAAACGGCATGTGTAACTTATTTTATGTGCTTTTCTGAAGTTTCCTGACGTTTTTTCCCTGTTTATTTGTTTATGCTCCATGTTCGATGGGCACGAATAAACTACATTTGTTTCTTCTCTCCTTCAGGTTTAAGGGCACGTAAATGAGCTTAGATTTGGTGCCGTGTTGTGTTGAACTTTCTCTCTTTCGCAAGCTAACATAATGCCAACTCTTAGAACGGTGACTTGCTTTTCTCATTCTCCCCCCTCCTCTCTACTTCCCCACCTCCCCCATCCACCAACCCCCAACCTCTTCGGCGGCGGCGGCGGCGGCGATGAGAAATGGGTGGTATTTCTGAGGGGAGCTCGCGTTTCCTTTTTTAGCCTCCATTTTTATTTCAACAACAAGTGAGTCGAAACGACAGGGGAGAGAGGGCGAGCGAGGGTGGAATGGCTAACGATTTGGTTGCTGCTCTCTCCCCCTCTCCAACTGGGAATTTCCTGTTTAATTATCATATGAACTCGCTCTCTTACATGCTGAGTTTATAAAACCTGCTCTGCCAGACCTTTTTTTTATCGTCCTCACACAAAGTTCTGTGCTGGGAAATTCTTTTCGGGTGTGATGTGTGTTTATTTGAAATTCAGTCTGGAATTATTTTTAAAGACTTTTTTATCTGATAATGTTATTATTGTGTCTGTTTAGCCTGTGGCTGGAAAATAACGTGACATGAATACTGCCAATAACTTCAGTATTACATATGTCAAATTACGTGTTTTGATGCGTATAAACCAGTAAGTTATGTTTCTGTGTGTCATTGTAGGTCATGTCAAGCTTGCTAATAGCTAGTCGATTTTACCAGGACCCCATCTTTCTTTGACCATGAACAAAGGGTGTCCATAATAGTGCCTGAAATACTTGGTGCTGCTGCGCAGCAGATCTGTTTTCGCAGATGAACATGAGCCCCAAAAAGACCTGAACAGCACGTTTCCTGTTTGTCGAACAAAGCTGATGACAAGACTTTAAAGCTGGGAACATTTGTGTTACCATTGTCAATCTTTTACAAGATGTCTCAAGGCCGAGTACATAATCCTGTGTGTCTGTTTTTGCTGGAAAGTCAAGACAAATGCTGTGACGCCCTATTAGGAAACACTGTTGTTTTTCAAGAGCTCTGAAAAACTTGGATGTTATTAAAATGGTGTAGAAAGATCAGCTTATGTATGTTTTTGGGCTGTGTAAAAATGACAGACATGTACATAAAGGTACATTCAGGGTTGAATATTGAAGAACTCAGAGGTTGTGGTATGGTCAGGTCAGGGTGGCAGGCCTCACTTGGAATGGGATTGGAGTACTTGTAGGATCCGTAGTTGTGCTATTACTCTACAGCAACAGTCGCTGTATTTCTCTCCCTTTCTCTTTCTCTTAGTCTCCTTCCATTCTCTCTCAGATGTGTGTGCACAGTCGCATACGATTGATCACGCCACACGTTTTCTGAATATGTTTCCATGTGTTATTTTAGTCACTGCTGCCGTTTTGGCCGCCCTTTACCATGTGAAATTTGAGCTCTCTCCCTCCCTCCCTCACCGACTTGTTATCGAAGTAAACCACTCTGCTTTTGTGAAGAGACAAAGGACAAATCAGCCTGGCAAAAACACAAAAATGGTTTAGCACACCCAAATCGAGTAAAGGCATACAGTGAAACAGGATCTTGTAAAGCAGGCAGTGTTGGAGTGTTTCACTTACTCTAATCTCAACGTATTTCTAGTCTTTGAAGGATGGTAAATAAATGACCATTTCAGGTTTTCAAAATGAATGTATCTCATTGGTTAAATTATAATTACCATTGTACGGCCAGAACACAACCACAATGTGGTAGCAAACCAAAAGTGAAAGAGTACTCTCTCTTAAATGTTTGCGCTTTTTTTTTTATTTTAACAGGCTCTGTTGAACACTAACTATAGCTTGGATTTCCCTGGATTTATTCCTGTATGTTGTTGCCCCAAAACTGGGCCTCTGGTGTTTTTTTTTTTCCCCCCTCCCCTTCCTCCTCCTTCTCTCCCCTCTCTGTGCTGAAACATGATGATCTGAAGGAATGTTCAGTCAGAGGGGCAGGACTAGCTCGCTTGCTCTCTCTCGTTATCTCGCTTGGTCTTACTGCTTTTGCTGTCTCTCTAGTGCATTCTACAGCTCTTTTACGTCCTTGCTGAGGTAGCATGAGGCTTCTTAGCGTCAGGATTAACACATAACATGAATGAAAGGGTGTGCCCAGTGAATAGTTATCTGAATTTGCCTTTTGATAAATTGGTACAATAAAAAACATGTAAAAAGGCCACATATTTAAGAGTATAATTGTGAAGACCATGCAGTACTCCTCCAAAGTGGCATGTTCAGGAGCTGTTTATTAGACACACAGAGAGACCGAGTTTGAAATATGATGCTGGCCCACCGCCAACAGAGAAAGACAGGATTCAAGTGCAGAGGAAGGTGGGTGAGGGGTGACAGTTTTAGAGAGAGGAAGAGATATGTGGATGAAGCGAAGTAGTTGATGGTTGAGAATAGGATCCAACAGAATCCATTTACTTATTGTTTGCTGCAGTGTATTCTCCCCCTAAGCTCTGCGTGCTCTGTGTGGCTACTCGGAATGCATGAAAATATCACTCATATCCGTATAGGCAGATAATTGTTTAAGAATAGTTTTAGATAATTGTAAGATTTGACCAATAATTCAACCCAGTGTTTGATGACATGTTTATTGTTCTCTAGAAGAGCAGAACATTTAGATTTTACTGCCTTTTGCCTCTCTCTTAAAATACCTTCTGCATTTCTCTGTGATGTTAATCCAGGTGGATTTAGTCTCAGTTTCTATACTTTATAAATGTGTATGTATCTGCTTTGTCAGATATGAATATGATAAGAATTGGATATCAGATGTTGGCACCAGCCTAGAATTTCCTTATTGGTGCATCTCTCAGTGCGTCAGTGTATGTTTTTAAATATGTTCTTATCATTTAAGCTGTAAAACAAAAACCTGTTTTCTCTTTATCGAGCCAATTCAACAGCTTCTTGATGAAAAATACTGTTCTACTCTAATGTAGAACAGCAAGTGCGTGTTCAGGAATCATTTTTTCAAATTCAGTAAATCCTTATTGAGTGAGAGGGAGTTAGATCCTAGGCATGTATTTTGAGAAGACAGTTTTTTAGCCTTTTTGTATGACTGCATTTTTACTATGTTGGGCAGAAAACCCTGCATTGGCTGTGATGGTCAGTAGCTGCACTGAACGTGTCTGCAACTGTGTCCTATAGTGTAATAGGGTTAAAAACATGGCACTGTGACGCCTGCCTCCCTGCTGTCCTTTGATTGGAGCAGTGTCTTAGTTTCTTGGCCAATCACAGGAGGTTCTTCCATAGATTGGACACTGCGTGCGCACATATGTTTGTGTTTTAAGGTCGGTGGGGGTGGTGTTTTTATGGCTTTGCTTCATGTTTTCCTGTGCAGTCAAGAGCAAAGGTTCCTGGGAGAAAAACAGAGGTTGGGAAAAAAAAATCACAGGACAATTTGCATACCTCTTCCCCCTTCCTCTCTCGTTCACCTCAGGTGCAGTCTGATAAACAGTAGGTTGCAATGGTAAAGATATCTGTTATTCCCTTAATATAGGAACTGCTATCGCTTAAGGTTTTTGTATCGAAAGGGGAAAAAAAAAAATAACTCACCTTAGGCCCCTGCCCCCACTCTCCTCTGTCTCTTGTGTGTCCACACAGGCACATACATGTCTCCTCTTTCAGTCTCCCTCCTGCTTTCTTTCTTCTTTCTTTTTCTTTTTTTGTAGAAGCAAAGCAGCCATTTTAGTTCCAGGGTTTCTCTGGCTTTTGTGATTCTCTCGCTTCCCTGTTTGTAATAACTCAAAACCCAAGGTAGTCTTTTGTTGGATGTATTCATTTTATCAGG